CGCATTAGATTTGGGCTGATGCTGAGTTTAATTCTCCTTCCCTCTGGTGAAGTAAGAGGAGTTCAGATGTCACCTCCAAGCCCTTTTTTACATTGCCCGAAGAAGGGTGGTAGCAAAAGGAAGAGACAGAAAGGAGCTGATTTACAGAGGACTATATATTGGATTCTGGTGTGGTGCTGTGGGTTAATGCACTGGACTGCAAAGTCGGTTTGAACCAAAAGGTTGGCAGTTCAAGCTCATCAGTTACTCCTTGGAAACCCTATAAAGGGTCTCTATGGGTCAGAACCGACTGAATGGCACGTAATAACAAACAACATATTTTGGGTTAGGAATCCTAGTGTAACACTGGGTTAATGCACTGGATTGTAAAAGTTGGTTTGAACCACAAGGTCCGTGGTTCAAGCTCACCAGGTGCTCCTTGGAACCCTACTTAGGGTCACTATGGATCGGATGTGCTTTGACTGCTCTTAACAGCAGCAACAACATACATTGGGTTAATGAGCTGGACTGCAAAGTCAGTTTGAACTTAAGGTTGGTGGTTCAAGCTCACTAGTCGCTTCTTGGGAACCCTGTACAAGGTCTCTATGGGTCAAAACCGACTTGACAGCACTTAACAATAACAACATACAGGGTTATGGAGTCCTGGTGTGGGGCTATGGGTCAATGCGCTAGATTATAAAGTTGGCTTGAACCGCAAGGTTGGCGGTTAAAACTCACCAGCTGCTGCTCCGAAACCCTGTACAGGCTCAGTATGGGTTGGAACCAACTCGACAGTACTTAACAACAACAATAATATAGGGTTGCTGGAGTCCTGGTGTGGCACTATAGGATAAGCGCTGGACCACAAGGTCAGTAGTTCAAACTCATCAGCTGCTTCTCGGAAGTCCTATACAGGGTCTCTATGAATTGTAACCGACTTGATGGCACTTAACAACATACAGAGTTGCTATGAGTCAATATCAACTCGATGGCAGTGGGTTTAATCAATAGGGCTTTTGAGACTGATATTTGCTTAGATACAGTAGGTATCTAAGATAATAAGATTTTGAGTTTAGAAGAGTAGAATGTTGGCGGTGATAATGCTGAAATGAGCGGTAAGGAAAACTTACTATGTACGTAAGACAGTTCAGTTTTTTACAGGCAGAGATATAGATAGATAACATTTTGGAAAATGGAAAAATCTGGCCTCTGAAGTCTTCCATTTTAACACAACTGTCCTTCATTTTCATTTATCCCTTCTGCCTTGTAGCCCTGGTCCATTTACCCACATATCTATAAATGTAAGTGTGCATGCCATTTGTATCACTGAAGCTGTTGTTGTTAAGTTCCATAAGTATGTTCTGACTCACAGTGACCCTGTATAGGATTTCCTAGGAGCAACTGGTGGATTTGAACCTCCAATCTTTTGGTTAGCAGTCCAGTGCTTATCTTACAGTACCACACCAGGACTCATTACTGAAATTAGTGTTATGTAATCTTTATAATTTTAAATATTATTGTCTGAGTACTTGCCCCTTAGTCTGACATATCCCCAGTGCTCTTAAAAGCAGAGAGGTATTGGTGATGCTCATTCCTGTCTATCTAGGGAGTAGGAAAAGTTTGTTGTTGTTGTTGTTGGGTCTATTTTGCAGGACATTTGATGGCTGTGTACATGGGGAATTAAGAGACACATGCTGGAGTAGAGTGAAATCAGCATTCTTTACTTTTGTTTATAGATGACCTGGAGTTGATTTTTAATTCATCGGGATCCCATGTGATACCTGTCCCACAGGGTATTTTAGGCTGTAATCTGTGCGGCAGCAGGAAATCCCATACAAAGAACTATTTTGTGCTTTACTAGCTCTGGTAGTGTAGTGATTACGAGTCAGGCTGTGAACCTCAAGGTCAGCAGTTCAAAACTACCAACTGTTTTGTGGGAGAAAGATGAGGCTTTCTGCTCCCGTAAAGATTTACAGCCTTGGAAACCTTATGCGGGGTCACTATGAGTCAGAACTGATGCCACGGCACACCACCACCACCACCATTATTTGGAAGGAGCTCCTGGTGTGGCACTATAGGATAAGCACTGGATTGGGAACCGCAATGTCAGTGATTCAAACCCATCAGCTGCTTCTTGGAAACTCTGTACAGGATTGCTGTGAGGCAAAACTGACTCGATGACACTTAACAACAACAACAACATTAACATTATTTGGAGGAATGAAGGGAGTCCTACCAGTAAACTTTATTGGTCATTAATGTGTTGGAGAACGTTACTTTGAGTATTCAGCTTGAAGATGTCTTCTCTATGTATGATGTCTTCAAAATGCTCTGTATCAGTTAGGATGGCATTTGACTGTTAGACAACTTGACATACAGTGATTTAAACATGTAAAACTTTCTTTTCTTCATATAAAAAGATGCTGTGGTGGCTGGGGACTCTGGACTCAAGGAGCGAGAGGGGCTGTGTGCTG